GGCGGGTAGCTCGGCGTGGCGGCGCGCTCTGGCTGGCGGGACGCGTGCAGCGCGTGCGGGTGCAGTGGGTAGCTCAGCGTGGCGGCGTGCTCTGGCTGGCGGGGCTCGTGCGGGTGCGGCTGGTAGCTCGGCGTGACGGCGCGCGCTGGCGGATCGGTGGCTGCGAGAGCGCGGCGTTGCGGGTGCTGCTAGGCGGGCGCGGCGCGCTCTTGGTGGCGGGTGGTTCAGCCGGGGCAGCAGCTGCGGTGCGGGCGAGCGAGCAGGTAGCTCGGCGTGGAGGTAGGGGTGGCCGAGCGGGTGGGGCGCGTGCGGGCGGGCGGGTAGCTTGGTGTGGCGGCGCGCGCTGGCGGATCGGTAGCTGCGCGAGCGCGGCGTTGTGCGTACTGCCTGGTGGGCGCAGCATTTTGTGTACTGCTACGTGGGCACGGCGTGCTCCGGCCGGCGGGTGGCTCAGCCGGCGCAGCGCGGCGCGTGTGGGTGGGCGAACGGGTGCGGCACGTGCAGGCGAAAGGGTAGCTGGGCGAGCACGGCGTAGCGTGTGCTGGCGGGATAGGGACAGCGTGAGCAGGAGGATAGTTTTGGGAACGATATTACGAGACATACCGCTCAGGACTAGCGCAGGCCTTCCGCAACGCCGAGATTGAGAACACCATGGCATGGAATCGGTAGTCTCCACGGGCGGCCCCCGACTTCGCATGGATGCGATGTAGGCTGGCGGTGATGTGAAGTATTCCGCTGCCGACGGAGATTTGTTGTCGTGTCACTGGTGTGGTGGAGGGATTCGGATATGTGGGTAACAGGCTGCAAGGGAACGCAGACAAGCACGTGTCCGGGTAGGGCTACAGGAGCAGCGTGGGCATATGAGAGCGCGGGCGGTCATAACGCAAGGTGCGCAGGGGACTTGAGTAGGCGACAGGTCATGCTAGGCTGCAGCGGACGCAAACGTTCCTACACCTCTGTTAGCCCATCGAGCAGCCGGACGCATTGCCGTAGCACTGAGGAAGGAGTACTCACAAGGACTATAAAATTGGCAAACTATTACATGCACATCCCACTCCATCGACACGTGCAAGTACATCGTACACCTGGCCTTCGAGCTTCGAGAGTGGAGGATGTCGCTTTGAGAGTCGTCGACTAGTGAGCGAGTAGCGATTGGAAGTAAGCAGACAGGAGGCAGGACGAAGGAGGCAGGATGGGGGGACTGGGAAAGTAGTTTAGCGCCGAGTGTTATGGTGACGTGAGCGTCACCTTACTGTGACTTTCCCAGCTGGAAGGCATATGCACACCCTCGTCCTGCAGTCTAACTGCCTATGAATATATTCTTTAACATATACTATGACGGACAGGAGATGCATGAAATATATTTTGGAGTCATCTGGCTGGCGTTAGTGAGCCAATCAAATTACGAGTTCGAGAGCCAATGAGAGCAGAGAACGGTGTGACTGCTTGATTAGTAAGCGAGGAGAAAGTGCCCATGATATAACTCGATTCCTAAAGTGGAATCGGAACTACGCCGGCGAAGTCATTATTGTCGTACCGTTGGACCCGCAGGACTCGTTATGTGACGTTGTACTATTACAAGACGAGAGTGCCGCTCAATGGAGACAGGTACAAGATAGTATAGCGCGAAACACGGTCATAGGAGCAGCTAGCAGGCGCCGATGGACCATCGGGTGACAGTAGAAGATATACTAAACCTGGACTGCGAGGGACGAGGAACTACCATGCATCATATCAAACACCGAGTCACCGTCACCTGTCTCCAAAAGCGAACCCCGCAGTACAGTAGCAAGCTCGGAAGTCTCTCCGCTCAGCTCTACCCAGTCAGGGACATCTCGCCATCCCCTGCGGCAGAAGTCGCGCATGGAGCGACGAATGGCGGCTTGCCGGGTCGCGTACGCGTTAAATCCCTCGCGGTAATCCGCGCGGTCGCCACCAGCGAAGCGCGTGTCCACTAACGAGGTCCAACGCGCGCACTCCCACTCGTGATACGCGATCACCCGCCGCATCTCCTCGAGGAGGAGGTCGACCTCCTCCGACCAACGTCGAGCCCGAGCCCGCGCCTTGCACCATTCTGCACGCAACGCTAGAGGGCCAAAACTGAGTAAAGCAAATTCGCACAACAATGGACAACTCACATTCTTGCAGACTAGCAGCGACGCGCTCATTCGAGGGCTCCTCACCCTGCGAGCTGGATACCGTCCAGATCCACGATATGGTTCGGCGCCCTTCGGACTGTCCGTCCGCGCCGTCGGTGATATGGCGAATATCGCCATCCTCTAACTTGCGGAGTTGCTCTTGCCACCCCGTCTTGCACAGGACGCCGCAGAGGTCGTGGAGGGCGGCACGCGCAAGGCGATACCGGGTGGCGTCGAGGGCGACTTTACTCTCGACCTGCTTGACGATCGTCATGGCGCGTGTGTTCGGGCGCTGGCCGCGGGCGAACCGATCCTTGAACTTGTACAGGTGCGTGCGCACCTCGAGGTGGCCCCGAAGGTCGTCGAGAGTGTCGAAGGCCTGAGCGTACCGGAGGCGCCACTCGTGTTCAAACAGGGTGGTAGAGCAAGGACTGGCCGGATGGGCTGCGGACGGGAGCAGCAGGGGGATATTGAACGCCAAGGATGCCGACTCAGATTCGGCCATCATCCGCGCGCGCCGCGAAGCGATAGCGGGCATGTACAGCTGCTGAATCCCGGCCCATGCATCGATCCGGCGGCGCAGAACGTTCTGACGTTCCTGGAGGCGTGCGCGCTGCAAGTCAGTAGCGTGGAGGTGGAGAGCATGATAGTCGGCCTTGAGACGGATCCTAATTCGCGATGAGATACCGTAAGTATGAGAGGACGAGGAGACTCACTGCTGGTCCTCGAGCTCGATTCCGGTGATCACTACACCGCTTTCGGACAACTTCTCGTGCAGAGAAGTTGTCCGACCTTCATTCAAAGCGAGCGCGTCCTCTTCTGTGAGCTGCCGCTTCACCGCGGCCTGAGTGATGGCTAAGAACATGAGTGTCAGCGCGAGATCATCAATACAGGGGGCACTACATACTTGGCCGCTTGATGAGGAACGGGTTTGGGCTTGAGCGATCGGCTTCCCACGACACGACATTGCTCTCCCACAGCTCCGCGGTGTCAGCGGGCAGAGACGCGGTATACTCCTCAAACGCAGCGACGTGAGCTTCACGCTCGGTGACAGCGTTCTTGACCTTCCCGAGCAATGACGAAGCTAAGGGGTAGCACCGACATCAGCATGAATCAATGGTAAAGGGGGAGAGCGACTGACGCAGGCCAGAAACCTTCTGCCAGTTATGGTGGGCAAAGATGTCATCGAGAAAGTCACGGCGCGATCCGGGGCCCATCTCCTTCGTACTCGCCGCAGCTCCGTTCGTCCTCCCCCACCCTCGCTCCGGAGCCTCGCCATCGTTGCGCGCCGAGAACGGCAGGAAATGTAGATTATAGTCTGCGCGACATTGCTCGCGGTGGGCATTGATGTGGAACTTTGGGATAGCCCAGGTAATGGTATGCGCGGAGGTGTCGAAGCCGTAGGTCTCGAACCGGCCTTCGATCTTCCGGTCGTAATGACAAGCGATGTCATACGACGCGGCGATCTCTCGCGGTGCATTACGACGCAGAGACGAATACAGCAGGTAATCGATGTTAACGAAACTACAAATGTGTGAGTACAAGGGTAATCACAGGAACGAGACATCACTCACCGCTCGCCTTTCTGGAGATCACCAGACGAACAAGGGCGCTTCATGTCGTGCCTCGCGCAGTCGACCGTGGCAAGACCCGAAGCCGCGAGGCCGGCAGCACTCTTGAGTGTCGCAAGCTTGACCGCATCGTGATTGTTGCAGTGATCGGACGGGTCGGCGTGTAGCGTGTCGAAGGTGGCGAGGTGATCCTTGTACGTGGTCTCCCTCACCATGTAAGAGGAGCCCTCGTTGAGACTAGGATCAAGCAAGTCCGACGAGACCTTCTTCCGCTTAAGCCGGAAGTTGGCGTCTATCCCGATAAAGAGCCTGTAGAGCCACCTACTTTTGGTGAGCGACCGTGGTGCTTGACATCCTATCCTGATCGCAAACTCACCCTTTACTTTTAGGTGCGTCCTCCCACCCGTCTGGAAGGTTCCTGCCCGGTTGCGGGCAAGCGGGGCACACAACCGCGCATGAGCCGAGCTCCCTGGAACTGACGCCATCGGCGTCGTGCCGACAACCCGCGCGTTTGATCGACTTGAGGTAGCGCCATTCACGTATGATCCTCATGAATACATGATAACGGTCCTAACAAAAAGTGAGTCACTAGAAAGAATATACGATATTAAATTAATCAACGTACCTTGGGGGGATGAACACCAGTGTTCTCGGTGCGGCGGACCAATGACGTATAAAACTCCCATCCCGATATCTTTGAGTAAGCGGAAAGGAGCTGGAAATGTTCGAGGACTTGGAAAGTAGCGGCGGTCTTCGGATTGATAGAGGTGGCAGGATACCAGCGTGTTCGAAGGAGTTGTGTAGCATGTGGGAGAGCGTAGCTGCACCCACAGAAGTCTACCCCAAGTGGGACAACCCCAGACATGTCGACCAGGACGAAGTCGTCCCCGAACGCAGGCTCGGGACAGCGACAACTGTCTCCGGGCTCGTGGCCGAGCTGAATACGGAGACCGAGCGACTTCAGGGTAACTCGACTGAAGTGGTCGCCGTCCCATTGCTATGGAGATATATTAATATAAGGTATAATGGGCGGCGAGCATACAGTCAAACATACCAGTATCCGATGAAGATGGTGACGGCCGTGGTACGCGACCGTGCATGACTGGCAGTGGAGACGACAATCGAGGCAATCATCACACCTGAACATTGCTGGTTCGGTGCAGCCGCCCGGACAAACGCCGCTAGTGAAACTGCCGCGCCCCTCGAGGCGCAACAGCTCGTCGAGGTAATCGTTCGCATCCTCGAGCCACTGAAGAAGCGGTCGGTCCTGTGAAGATGTGAGTGTCAATATGAGGATGGGGGAACGATGCTAGACACACTGCAGCTGTCCGTCGACGAGGAACAGGGTCTTCATCAATCTCTGCGAGCCGGGAAAAAAGGTAGTCGAGGTCGACAGGGTCGGACGATGAAAGGTCGACGGCGCTGTCGTTGTAGGAGCAGTTGACGGGGGTGAGGGATGGTAGCGAGGAGGACCGCGGTCGCTTGCGAGGCTCGCGCAATATGCTGGTGAACGACGTCCGGTGTGAGACGTGTGCGTCGCCGTGTGAGATATCGACGTGACGGTGACGGTCAAAGGAGAGAGTAGTGGACGCCTTCGCCGCGTTGTCGTCGTTGTCGTTGTCGTCGTCGTCGTCGGAGATGGTGTAATGGGTCACACGCTTGCCACGTCGCGAGCGTTTCATGAGGGAAACGAGTCGGGTGAACCATGGCGGGGCCATTGACGGCGAGAAGATATCGAATGGCGGGGCTGCATCAAACCGATGGCGTCCAGCTTTTGTCGAACACGCTGACAGGGACGTTCCGCCACTTACCATGCGAGACGAGCCCAATGGGACGAACACAGCTAACCATGGCATGGGGTATGTTGCCGGCCCCCGTCCGATAGAACCGCGGGGCATTTGCATTTCCCGGTATTGTTCTGGGGAATGAAGAGCCTGCTTTGAGACGGCATTAGACCGGATGCGCTCGGAAAAACGGGGGTGGTGGGGCAGCAGAGCACGCTCCCGACGACGCCCCAGACGTACCAATGTTCTGTCAGGGTGTCTCGAGGGAACACCATGAAAGCCAATATCGACTGTCTTACTCATGGTATGGGACGTGGCGGGGAGACGGAGGGCTTGCCAGGTACAGTCCGAAGATGGATAGACGAGCGGTGAAGGCACCGAGCGGTGAGCACGAGGTGAGATTGTGATGAGCGCGACGTGTTGATCTTCGGCATATGGATCTGCATGGAAGGAGGGGCCATTGAGCTGATGCTTGGCCCCCTCGAGGACATCGGATACCTACGTGGCAGGCCCAGGCTGACACGTTCCAGCCAACGAAGTGGACCTCTGCCGACCAGTACAAGATATCAGTGCATGTCGGATTGGGAGGCTAGGATGAGTACTTACCAGCGCATGCACAAAAAAACGCGGCGGGACAGTTGACCGACATACTGGAAGTGAGAGAGAGAGAATGAGCGAATGGGGAAAGAGTACCGTCAGAACGAGATCATCCGAACGCCAGGCGCCCAGCGCTCAGCGCCCAACGCCGCTACGAACTGGCCAATCAGGTGTCGAATAACGGTATACCTGACAAAGTGGAATATCACTGAATCATTGCTACAGACGCATCCCGAGGCTTAGTCTCATGAACATTCCGCCAGAAGTGATGTGTTGTATCATGGGATATGCGCATATTATTGGTAGAGTCCAGGTAACATTCCGAGCACGACGATTCTGTGTTAGACGTTTAGAGCCCCCGGTAGAGAACGTTCGAACATTAGAATCCATTCAGCACTCCAGAGCCATGCAAACAAGTCCTGACTGCCTCAACAACACATAAATTCACCCTCGGGTGGGGTCGTCTTGTCTGTACATACGCAGCACATCTTTCATCATACGCTGCCACGGCAAACTCCCCGTCCTCCCGCATTCTGTGTATCCAGAGAGCCCTTCCCGTGTGCGCGTCTCCCACTCCTCCACGAGTAAGCAGACTATCCTTGCTCCCCAATCTAACGCGACTTCCTTCGCCTCCCTGTCTTCGTCGGCAATTGCGGATATGTTGAGAGCCGTCCAGGCCTGTATTCTAGCAGCAACTTCCCGGGTCACCGCTGCGTTATCTTCGATGACCTCGGTGTTCTTCCAGCTTTCATAGCGGTCCCAACAAAGCTCGACGAGTTTGTTATACTGAAGCCCTCCGAGTAATCCCACAACAGTGTTCCACGGTCCGCCTGTCGCCCGTTTGCCCAAGTGTTTAAGCACGATGTGGTCGGGGCGTTCGAATGCGTACGGCGGCGTCCATAATCCTAACAGCGGCCCATCGTCCTGAACGGCGAGGGACACGCATAGAGCCTTGTTTGCGCGCGCGAGCAAATTGGGGGGCGCTGGTAGACCAAGCAGTGTGTTCTTCTCGGCTTTCTTTTTCATGTACTGTGTGTGGTTCTCCTTCGTTCGTGCCTCCCGGCCGCTAGCGTGAGTTGCCATGAGCACAGTGCGAATGTAACAATTTCTGTACTTGCACAAACCTGCTGGTCGCGCGATATTCTTTCGCTTGTCTCCGTTTCGCAACGGCCTTCGAACTCAAAGTGAGATGCTTCGCGCGGCGCCCCATTGAGCTGATGGGAGGTTGGTAGCAGGTTGCATGAGGTACACCAAGAAACAACTCGAATTGGGGACACACGTGGTAGTTACAACAAAAACGGCGCGCAGGGACATGACTGATGACACTGAGAGCCCTATACTATGCCGCGCGACACTGACAGTCCGTCACACGACCTATACATGGCCGCGCGCGACGTACTAGACGACGGGCGCGACCTACACAACACCGCACACGACCTACACAACACCGCACACGACCGACACGACGTCGCGCGCGAACTATACAGTACTGCGGTACTGCGACGGTGCGCACGACCTTTTCGACACTGCACGCGGCGTCCTCGCAGCCGCGCGCGACTCCGTAACTACTGAGCAAGATCTAGGTATGACTATGTATGGTTGTTCATCAGCGCATTAATGTATCAGCGAGGGAAAGGGGTAACGGGACAGAAGGAGGCGAGAGCGGGACAATTGAACGGCTACTTTCAAGAAACGAACGAGTCCTAGCAGGGAAGGAGAAAGTCTAAACCTCGCGCACGATGTTCATGTCGAGCGCGTCTTGGAAGGCGCGCTCGGCTTCCTCGCGTGTGCCGAAGGATCGCGACGCGTTTCCGCGCACGCCTGTCACGGACCAGACAACTAAAGAGCTACCGAAGAAGTGAGCCTTGACACTACATGAACGAGAGAAGCCGAGCTTACTGGTTGTCAAAGACGCCGACGCGGCGTCCGCAAGTGACAACGTACCACACCTGGTTGGGATCCGAGGGCCCGTCTGCAGCGGCCGCGGCCGCGGCAGCTGGTGCCGCCGGCACAGCGACGGTGGGGGGTGCAGCGGCTGCGACTACAGCAGGAGGTGCAGCAGCAGCGACCACGGCAGGGAGAGGAGCGGGTGCAAGGACGGGTGCAGTGGCGGCGGCGGGTGCAAGGACGGGCGCAGTGGCGGCGGCGTGTGCGAGGACGGGCGCGGTGGCGATGGCAGGTGCAACGGCCGGCGTGGCAGCGGCAGGCGCAGTGGTTGCAACTAAGGCCGGGGGTGCAGCATTTGCTACAACAGGCACAGCGGCGGCAGGGGGTGCGGCAGCAGACAGCCTCGTGGCAGCTCCTGCTGGCGGTCCCATGGTAGAAGCACCCCTCATTGAGGAGAACCGGACGGGCGTGGCAGTTGTCGTCGTCGCAAGCGGAGCTGCAAAGGACTTGGAAGGAATGGAAGCTGAGGACCGGTGACGGGAAGGACCTGCCGCTGCAGGAGTCGCAGCCTGACGAGTGTCAGGGGTGGACGTACAAGCAGGAGCCGCAAGCCGGGAAGAGGAGGACCGAGGGTCAAGACGGGTCAAACCAGCCGACGTATTAGTGGTGGGGGCATCGCGAGAGCGGCGTACAGTAGGAGCGGGCTCGTTGCGCGAAGGGCTGGGGCTGCTCGCTCGGGAGGAGTGATATGTGCTGGCCGGGCTGGAGTTGTCCGCATCGACCCCGACCGCACTGGTGGTGGGGTCGGAGTCGCGAGACAGGGAAGAGCGAGCGTTGTGGTCGGGGAGGTAGTCGGGGAGGTAGTTCTCCATCCAAGAGGAGCCGGGGGACACGTTGGACCAGTAGCGGCGATCGCCGGGATCGCTTGGGCCACTGGGCGCCACGGAGGCCGAGGCCCTATCGGAGGTCTCGGGCGCAGCGGATCCGCTAGGCGCAGCAGTTGCGATGGGGACCTCTCTGCCTCCACCCTCATCTGTACCTGTTAGGGTATCGTCAGTAACTATTCTGTAGTCGCCACCGCGCTATCGCTCACCATACATGTCCCTCTGAAGGCACCTGAGGCAGGGCGGCCGCACGCGCCGGTTTGGGTCGAGGACTGGATCAGGAAGATAAGTTACGAATCAACGGCAGCAGCATGCGTGGACTACGTGGTACGTGCCATTGCTTCGTTGGGCGATATGGAGCAGCAGCTCGAATAGCTGCGCGATGCTGAACCGCGGGGACGCGAACTGTTCGTCCGCATCCCCACGCTCCGAGTCACCCGAGTTCATGGCCATGAGTGCGAGAGAGAGAGGGGGGAGTATGCGAGAAGGATGAGGGTGACGCAGGACAGCCAGCGTTGGGACTGCTTTATAGCATTCAGGCAGCCTCTATCAAGCACATCATTGGCTATCGACGTCGCCTCGAGGGCATGCATGCAGGAGGCCAAACACAGGCAAGTCCTATACCTTTGCAATGTCGCCCAATTTGAGAACTGAAATTCCACTACTCACCTTAGACAGAAGCTCGGGACTTCGCACCCGGGCCTTCACATATCCTCCCCAAGGAGGAACTTTTCTCATTCATCCCCCCGCCCCTCCTCCGCGCTCCGACTTCGTACGATCTCGACAAAACACATATTCAATGGCACCTCCTACCTGGACTACACCCGAGCAGAGCGAATGGCTCGTGTCCATGAAGCCGGCGTTCCATGAGGCTCGTGTCAAGGGTCGCCAGAAGACCTGGCACGCGTCCTTGTGCCTCAGTTGGTTCGTCAAGTGGCCCGAAATCAAGGTTCTCTTCGGCGACGTTCTCGACAAGGACCTTACCCCGGAGCAGAGGGAGACGCTCGCAGCTGCCGAGCTCAAGAGGAAGGCGGTGAGCTGGATACATACTAGAGACGGCAGAGATAGAACATCGAACTAACGCATTGTGTTCCAGCAACTTACGCGCTGGTACCAAAACCATGCCAGCGAGTCGCGCACGGCGCGCGCGGCAGCTGCGCCCCTCCCTCGCGAGGTCACAGGGCTCACGAAGACGAGGCGGGCACCTCACGCGAGGGAGGTGTACATCCGCATGTACTACGACGAGGCCAGGCGTGACCGTGTCCGTGCCGCCCTCGAGGCCGCCCGCAACGGCAGCACTCAGCCCCTCTCGCGCGCCCAAACCTTCTCGATCACGCGCAAGACCTTGGAGGAGATATACGAGGCAGAACCGGCCGAGGTAAAAGACGCGGTTGCCCGGCGCGTTGATACGGAGAGGCGCCTCTTGGCCATCCCAGCTGCCAATGCGAACGCGGCCCCAAACCGGACGCCGGAAGATTATCAGCGGTATGTCTCGCATCCTTGCCCATCGCACGCCGCGCACCTCATTGACGGGATTAACAGTGCGATCAATGCAGCCCCCGGGTGGCTTGAGCGTATCGTATCGCCCATCGCGGACGTGTGCGGATGGTGCTTCACCGTCGTGGGGGCAGGCCCTAGCCCTCAGGAAGGAGGGGAGATTGCCAGTTTTGCGTGAGTCGATGCACTTCGTTTGAGTCGCGCGCCGCGTGCTTATCGCTGACGTACATCTTCAAAGCTGCCATTTCGGGACCACCCCAACTGGGCACACCTTCGAACAGGCTTCGCCCAATTTCAAGGACCAGTATATTCGTCCTATGGTACATTTTGCGAAGGCAGTATACTGTATGTTCCGTTCACTACTGCTAGCTTTCTGAGCGGAGGTACTGAACTCTCTACAGCGCGCGACGAACGCGCGAACAGGGCGCTCTCTCTCGTGCAGCCAGATTCCGACTCCATGGCGACGTCGGAGCAATCGGAGTACGCCGCTGCGAAGACAGCCCCTTTGGCTCTGCAACCGTCTCCTAGCCGTCTCATGGGTACGCGCACGTCGACCCTTTCTGCAGTACGACTCCCGAGCTCACAGACTTCTCCAGCGCCGCCCGCGCCGTCCGCGGAGGCAGTCCTCGTTGACCCGCTGTGGCAAGTCCAGGCGGACACTGTCCCATCCTCGGCGGCTCTCTTGGCGGCCACTTCCCTAATCGACTTCGCTGGCGTCGGGCACGCGTTTCCGCTCAGGCCCAACCAGGCAGACGATGACGATAGTCTCCTCGGCCTTCTTGAGTACGACGACGGCGGCTCTGCGTACAACGGCTTCAACATGCCGTTTGACTTCGAGCGAGGTGTTTTCGTACCCTCGAACACTTCCGCAGACATCACCACCCTCGACACCATGCACACGCTTGGGCCTGGACCTTCCGGCGCCACCGGCGCCACCTCTCTTGTCAACTCGTCGCGCCTCGTGCCCGCCCCCTCTTCGGAGACCTCCGGCGACGCCCCTAGTAGACATCCCCAGCCTACTTCGGGATCGACTACCCCTCCCTCCTTGCCCACCTCTGATTCGGACATGACTGTGGACCGTCTGGGAGGTACTCTGGCTGCAGAGGACGCGCCGATGGAGACCGAACGTCCTCAGCGAGCTCGCAAACTCCCCGGCCGCTACTCCGAGGCTGCGGAGCGTCCGTCCAAGCGTACGAAGGCGAACAATGGCACCGCTAATGCGAACGATGACATGGCGCCGGCGCGCGCGACGCGCACGGCGACAACAGCCGTTGAGACGGATGCAGGGGCTGGAGTGGAAGGCAGGGCGAAGGCGGGCTCGGCACGCAGCCGGGCTAAGGCAGGCTCGACGCGCGGCGGGGCTAAGGCAGGCTCGACGCGAGGCAAGGCCAAGGTGGGCTTGCGCGTGACGCGCGGCGGGGAAGCGACCGGTCCTGCGTCCGGCGATGCAAACGGCTCGGCGCGTGGTAAGGCCAGTGGTGCGACGCGCGGTAAGTCCGCGCGGCGGGGCGGCGCGCGGTAAGTTCGCGCGGCGGGGCGGCGCGCGGTAAGTTCGCGCGGCAAGTTCGCGCGGTTCTGGCGTGCCCACAGCTGCAATGTATATAGTACAACTTTCTCGTTTTCTTGTCATCCTGTCCATGCATCAAGGTCCCTCCGTAATCAATGGCATCAGCTGCCATGTATTTAGGTCTATCGTTCTTGTCCTGTTGTTCGTGCCCCGAGTTTCCTCTGTAATAGTGTATATGTACATAGTGTCTTCTTGACAGCAATATGAAGTTCTTGATGTAATGTGGACCGCGAGGCTTGGGGCTGCTCGCCTTGGAGTGACCAGATGACTGTCTTCTGCGCAAGTACTGAGTAGTAAGTACGGAGCGCTGAGTGCTTAACCCTCAATGCAATGCTCTTAGACTCTGCCGGGATTTACGCGGGCCGGTATTTCCGTTCAGTCGATATTGCTAAGTCCGAAGTTCTCACATATCGAGCTCGGAATGTCAAGTCATCGAGGGGCGGGTAATCTGCATAGGCTGCAAGTAAATGTTCACGAAAGTTCTGAAGATGGACAACCATTTGGAGGGGCACTGGGTTCTATGTTTGAAACATATCTCCAGTACGGGAATTAGCGCACATTGAATGGAATCGACG